GTCACCTGGCCTTCCGAGAAATGTTCCGGGGCTTCCCCAAAGACGCAGGAAATTTCGCAGAAGGCTGGTGGGCTTCTGAGAAGCCCCGCGGCCTTCAGAGAAAACCTTCTCCTTCTCACTTTCCCCCCCCCTCGCTCGCAGCCGAATCCGATGCCGTGATTCGATGCTGGCTGCTCCCCCTCCTCCCCTGAGATCCTGGCGCTACACTTTTTCACCACGGGCGTTTCCGCCTGGCTTCAGGCCCCAGGACCCTCACAGATCGATCTGGCTTCCGAAGTGGCGCAGAAAGATGGGATCCAGGGCTCCAGTCGTCATGTTTTACCATGCTTCGATTTTGCTCGCGACGTCGGATCTCAGGGCCCTCCTCCTCCATCTTCCCTCCTCGTCGCTCCTCCTCCACCTCCTCCTTCCTCTTCTCCCTCCTCATCCCCCCTCCTGCATCGTCTGGTGCCCTCTGGAATCCCCCGACCCCGTGCTTCTTTCATCACAACGTGGACCCCCGGAGGTCTGGACCCAGTCCCTGGGACTGGCTTCCTCATCCTGCGTCGACTTTTGGCGGTCCTTGAGCCAGGCACGGGCCCCAGGGGGGCGAAGTCTGTCGAAGACCTCCCCTCGTGATTTCTCCGATCTCGCGATTCGCTGCTAGGCACTCCCGCCCCCGCGCACGGGCGTGGGCCGCCAGGTGGCGGCCGTGGCGGCAGGGCAGCCGATGCGGGTGCAGCAGTCGCCGCAGCTGTCCCCGCAGGCGGGTGCGGCCGCCCCACTGACGAGGAGGAGGAGGAGGAGGAGGAGGAGGAGGAGGACGACGACGACTCAGTATCATTATCACTCAGACTGCGAGTGGGTGGGAGATACCTGGTTTCTCCCTCCGAGTGCTTCGTGTGCGGGTATATGTGTACATGCCGACCCCTGGAGAGCTATCTATGAGAAGGCCAAGATAAAAAGCCCATCTATCAGAAGCTGACGAGGAACAACCAGTCCAGTGTACACGTGCGAACGTGGTGGCAGATATGTACGCTGAGCGTGGAACCGTCCTTCATGCTGAGAATGATGATGGTGGTGATGAGGATAATGCTGATGATGATGATGATGATGACGATGCTGCTGCTGCTGATGATGATGATGCTGTGATGATGATAATGCTGATTATGATGACGATTATGATGACGATGATGACGATAACGATGATGGTGATCATGCTGATTATGCTGATGTTGCTGTTGTCGTTGATACTGATGTTGATGATGATGGTGATGATGATGATGATGACGATGATGATGTTGATGATAACGATGATGGTTACGATGATGATGATGATGATGATGATGATGATGATGATGATGATGATGACGATGATGATGACGAGGTTGATGATGGTGGTGGTGATGATGGTGATGCCCTGACGCGCATCAAGCTTAGCCCAATACTTGTAACGTGTAAGCGTACTTGCTAAGTGCACTGCCTATGCAGTGTCTAACATAAGTTATTCGAGACGTGCTTGGGGCACAAGAACGTCGAGGGTGTAGAGATTGTTTGGCTTCCAGCAACGATAAATTCTTGCTCTCGCACCTGAGGGCTATGGCCCGGCCCCCTCCTCTCCAATCCCCGGCCCCCTCCTCCCCAGTCCTCGTCCCTCTCCTCCTCCGCGGGCCCCTCCTCCTCCCTCCTCCTCCTCCTCCTCCTCCTCCTCCTTGTCCCTCTCCTCCTCCTTGTCCTCCTCCTCCTCTTCCTCTGCCTCTTCCTCTTCCTCTTCCTCTTCCTTCTCCTCCTCCTCCTCCTCTTCCTTCTCCCCCTCCTCTGTTCGAGCCTTTCGAGCGCGGCCCCAGGTCGCATCCGCGACGCGGCCGATCGCCTCCGCGGCAGTTGCTGCGGAGGCCGCGGACTTTGCCGCAACGAGAGCGCAGCGCGGCCGCTGCGCCCAGCACCAAGGGTCCGAAGGCCTCAGGTGGCCAGGACGGCCGCCAGCGGCCGAAGCAAGAGGGCCCAGGACCAAAGGGCCAGAGAAAAAAAGGGGCGGGCGGGACCCAGAGGGGAGAGGGAAGGAGGCCACCTGGCCAGAGGAGAGGGAGGGTCCCGCGGACGGGGGCAGGAGGCCCGACCCCCAGTAGGAGGGGGAAGGAAGGCTGCCTGGCCGAAGGAAGGGGGAAGGGCGAGCGACGGTGGTCGAAAAAAAGGAGCCCAGGGGCACATTAGAGTCTTGATGCCACCGCCCCAGATGGAGCAGTCGCCCGCCGAAGTGCAGCGGCATGGGGCGGGGGTGCCATTGCAGGGGCGGCCGTGCCGCAAACCTCCAGGCCAGGACGGGTAGAGGGAGGGGGGGGGAAGCTTCACCAGGGCGAAGTGCGGGGGAAGCTCCTGGGTCCTGACAGGCGCGGCCCGCATCTACGGGGCAATCTCACTGGACGGGGTAGCCGACTTCCCCCTCCTCCTGGAGGGGGGATCCCCGATGGCGGTGTTGTTGTTCATGATGGTGTTGTTGATGTCCATGATGGCCCCCTCCTCCTCCTCCTCCTCCTCCTCCTCCTCCTCCTCCTCCCCCTCCTCCTCCTCCTCCTCCCCCTCCTCCCTCCCTCCCTCCTTCCTCATCCTCCTCCTCCTCCTCCTCCTCCTCCTCCTCCTCCTCCTCCTCCTCCTCCTCCTCCTCCTCCTCCTCCCCCTCCCCCTCCCCCTCGCCCTCCTCTTCCGCCGCGCTCTGCAGCGGGCCACATAGCAGCCATTTGTTGCTGGCTCGAGGCCGAAGACAAGCCCGAGCACACCCCGCGAGCCCAGGCCCGCGGAGGCCGAGGACGCAGCAGCGGGGGCTGGGCGCCCAGCCTGGGCTCCGTCTCCTCCTCCACTTCCTCTTCCTCCTTCTCCCTTTCCTCCACTTCCTCTTCCTCCTCCTCCTCCTCCTCCTCTTCCTCCTCTACCACCTCCTCATCATCAGCATCAGCATCAGCATCATCATCACAGATATCATCATCATATCATCATCAACATCATCACCACCACCATCATCATCGTCATCAGCATCATCAACATCATCAGTATCACCACCATCATCAGCATCATAACCATCATTATCCGCCTCATCATCACCACCACCATATCGTCAGCAGCATCATCATCATCATCGTCAACATCATCATCATCATCATCATCATCATCATCAGCATCATCACCACCATCATCATCATCATCATCACCATCATCATCATCATCATCATCATCATCATCATCATCATCATCATCAGCAGCAGCAGCAGCAGCATCATCATCAGTCCTCATCATCATCATCATCATCATCATCATCATCATCATCATCATCATCATCAGCATCATCATCATCATCATAATCATCATCATCATCATCATCATCATCATCATCATCATCATCATCATCATCATCATCATCATCATCATCATCATCATCATCATCATCATCATCATCATCATCATCATCATCATCATCACACCATCCATCATCAGCATCACATCATCATCGTCATCAGCAGCAGCAGCAGCAGCTCAGCTATCGTCCCTCCCTCCTCCCTCCCTCCCTCCCTCCCTCCCTCCCTCCGTCTCTCCCCCTCCCTCCCTCCCTCCTCCTCCTCTCCTCCTCTTCCTCCTTCTCCTCCTCCTCCTCCTCCTTCCTCCTCCTCCTCCTCCTCCTCCTCCACCTCCTTCTCTCTCTCTCTCCTTATTATTCTTCCTCCTCCTCCTCCTTCCTCCTCCTCCTCCTCCCCGTTCTCCTCACCCTCTTTCTTCTTGCCGATGCCATGGGACCCACGTCTGAGGGCCGCACAATCCACAGCAGCAAGAATTCACAGGACAATCAGCCTGGCGGGAACCTCCGTCGTCGAAGCTCCAGGAAGAACACCCTGAGCCATCCTCTCGATGGCCTTCTTGCCGTGGGTCCCCAGAGCCTTGCGCAGGAGTAGAGGCCCCTTCGCTTGCCTGGCACCGTGGGCCCCACACTGAACGCATGCGACCCCAGGGTGCGAGGCCTCGCGAAGGGCCTCCTCGACTCAGATCTGACAAGCCTGTGGTACACGCTGCCCTGCTCCTGAAACCGGCGGTTCGCATCCACCGCACGACTCTCGATCGAACCTTGGCAGATCAGCGTACGGGTGGCCACAATGCGTCAGCAAGAGCACCAGGGGCGATTAGCAGGACCAACAAGCTTGTGCCCCAGCTGAGGACAGACAACCTGCAACTGGGGAGGATCTGTGCGCCACACGATGGCGCCTAATCACATGCACCGTGTCGCGCGCGTCCAAATGCTCACCCGCAACATCAAGCCTGTGCGCAGCGTTCTCAGCAATTTGCTGCGACCTGGCAAGGAGATCCCGCTCATCAGCGGGCATCCGAGAGGCACGGCCTGCAAATTTGGCCCAGATGTTAGCATGAAAGGTGCCGGATTTATCTTTCCTGCAGATGGCGCCTTGTTGAACATGCGCGAGCGTGCAGTGCGCCTTACATTTGCGCATGCTCAGGCCCGCCTCCCCAATACCCCCACCGTCCTCGAGGAGACGCCAAAACTTGCGCCATAAACAGACCCACGCTGATTTGTGGGAGGTGTTCCCACTGGGACCTCTCTCGGTGACCCCCAGGAGAACTAATTCAGAGTCCGTGACCCCTGTGATCGGAGGGACCGCGACACGCAGCAGATACTCTGCAGCAGCAAGCTCGGCACTTTTCAATGTCAAAGCTTTGCGCGGAGCAAGTGCAGTACACCTCGTCTACAGCACTCCGAGGGGCTCCTGCCGCTCCAGCGTTGCTTTGGCCCAAGCAGTGGCCCTGAGCTCCTCGCCCCACAGGGCTTCAGACGCAGACCCGTCCCAGATCCGAGGCAGGGCCCGTTCCAGGGAACACCGCACCTGAAGCCGCTCACGGCCCTGAACACGCCTGCCACAGGCAACATCCAGACCCACGTTGCGCTCATGCCGCACTGCTTGCGCTCCTACGCATCTCAGCTTTCGCGCCACGCTCATCCTCACCTCTTCAATATTGTAGAGCGTGCGTGTCTTTGACGTGTGGATGTCTAGCTCAACCTTAAGCAGCTGCTCATGCAGGGACTTGTGGCTTTCACGAGGTCTCTGATTACACGTCCTTACCCTCCTTTTGTGAGGCAAAGTAATGCCATCAACCACCACCGTCAGCGTCACAGCCCTGCGGGGCCGCAGCAGCACGAGTTTGAGGAAACCAGTGGCCCAGCCGTCTCCAGGGAGGATGGTCTGTTCGACCTCGACCGGCATACAGCATACACACAGCCTGCCCAAGACAACAGCTGCGCAGCGCATGGTATAACGAAACCCGCAACTGCAGCTGCCACGGAGAGCAGGGTTGGGGTGGAGGGGGAGGAGGAATGGGTGGAAGAGGAGGAGGAGGACGAGGAGTAGGAGGACGAGGAGGAGGAGGAGGAGGAGGAGGAGGAGGCAGTCCCCGCGACTGCGTTTTTTCTTCTTCGGTAGCGCCTCGGCGTCGCTGCGCGTCGGGTGGCATGGCGGGGCGGGTCCCGCGGTGCCTCGCCGCGCTGCTGCTGCTGCTCACCGCGGCGGAGGGCGCGTGCCCGGGCGCGGACGCCGCCTGCGCCGGGGGTGAGGAGGAGGCGGCGCTGCTCCAGCAGTCTTCGCGGCAGGCCGCCAGATCCCGAGAGGAGTAGGAGGCCCCGACAGAAGAGCATGCCACCGGCTCTTGGCCGTTTTCGGCGCCCTGGGGCCCTCAACGGGCCCCAGGACCGTCAAAGAAGGATTCGGTACGAGAAGCCGGTTCTACGGAAGTCGTCCAGACCCCTGGGGATCCATTCATCGAAAAAGCTGGACCGCCAGAGGATGTCTGGGGAGGAGGGGGAGGAGGAGGAAGAGGAGGAGGATAGGAGGAGGAGGAGGAGGAGGAGGAGGAGGACCAGTGTAACACCAAGGCGTAGCAACAATGTTGCAGTGAACCCTCCCTCCAAGTTCCCTCTGCATAGACCCCCTGCAAGAATTTGTTATAATTGCGGGAAGTGCCCCATTGTAAGACAACCGTCTGAGAAGCCTCCACAGTGGCAAAACACCATTCCTGGTTTTCAACGCTGAGAATCAACGTGATTGTTGCGTCCTGGCAATTCGAAACCGTGCCAGAACACCATTCCTGGGACTCCAGCGCAGCGAATCAACGTGACTGTTGCGCGCTAAGGCGAGGGCAGCATTTTGAAAAGGACCCGCCCTTCATCCTTAAAAGCGATTGCGAACTTTTAAACGAATGTACTCGGAGCTCAGGCGAGAGCCGCATGCTGAGAAGGACCCGTCTTCCCTGTTTGAATTTGTGCGAAGTTCAAGTTTCAGAATCATAGATAGCCCACCCTGCCGACACGTCTGGGGGTGCGACAGGGAGGAGTTATTCATTCCTCTCGCTTCGTGGGGTACACGTCTGGAGCACGTTGAGGCTGGGCGTTGGCTGGTTTGCCCTGCTCGTCTGCCGAGAAGTTCTGCCTGCCCCAGGGCGCTGGCGCCGCCAGCGCCACGGTGGGCGGATGCGTCCCCCCCTCGGCTTCAGCGCCGGGACGAGCGTGCGAATGTCCACGAGGGCCACGAGCATTCACCGTGCGCCAGCGCAAAGCAACGCAGGTTCAGATTCCGATGAGCATAGCAACGACGCGCCATTCGTATACATTTCCGCGGGACTCCTGGTGGTTTCTTCGGGCCAGTTGGGGGCTTCTTTGGGGCATCTTTGAGCCCCCCCGCGAAGCCTTTGGGGGGCCTGGCCTCTTGGCCCGTGTTAGGGTGCCCTTGCTTCGGAGGCCGCCTTGGGGGCCTCTTTGGGCTGCCTTGTGGCCCTCTTGGGTTCCTCGTGGGCAGTATTGGGGGCCTCTCGAGCCTTCTTGGGGCCTCCGTGGGCCATCTTGGGGCCTTCTTGGGCCGTTTGGATGCTGCTTGAGCCGTCACCATGAGAATCGAAAAAGGCGCGAGCGCGAAAATCTGGCAAAACCCATCGGACAATCCATGTTTTTGGCCTCTGGAGGTGCTTTGGGGTGCCTCCTTGTGGCCCTCCGGAGCCGTCTTGGGAGCCGCTTGGGCCTTCTTGGGGCCATTTTGGGCCGTCTTGAGGCCGTCTTGGGACTCTTGGAAGCTGCATCGAGCCGTCTTGAGGCCTTCGTGGACCCACAGGATGCCCCAGAGGTCGATATCATAGATGTTCCATAGGTTCTTGTACGTTTGAAGGCCCCAGAGGGGGTTTACCATCTTGGTCCGCCGATATGGCGCGGACTCCAGGGGGGGAGTAGGGAGAGGGGAGACATGATCGAAACCAATTGCCCTAGCCAGTTCAGCCTGCCAACCTAACCCATCCAACCCGCCAGCCAACCCAACCGGCCACCCCGACACCCAGCCAACCCTCCAATCAGCCACCCAGCACCCAGCCCAACCAACCACCCTGCCAACCAGCCAACCCCAACCAAACCCATCCATGCAGCCAGCAAGCCCTGCCAGCCCAGCCAGCCACCCAGCCAACCGTCCAACCCACCACCCAGCCCAACCACAAACCCCGCTACCCAGTCAACCCCAACCCAACCCATCCATGCTGCCAGCAAGCCCAACCAGCCACCCTGCCACCCAGCCAACCCTCCAATCAGCCACCCGGCCCAACCAATCACCCAGGCACCCCGCCATCAGCCATCCAGCTCAACCAGCCACCTCGTCACCCCGCCAACCCGCCCATCCCCGCCGCCTGCCCTCCGTCATTGTCAAAGGGGTGGAAGTGTTTCTTACCAGAAAGCGAGACATATTCGCACCGTCCGTAGCGTGCAGGGCCAGGACACGCGCCGCGGGAACTCCGGGACGGTTTGGGGCCTCAAGTGCGATACCATCATCACTTCTTGGATCATCACCGAGCCCCCTTTCTCAACGGGAAGGCTTCCACCCTGGAAACTGTCGTCACGTTTGAGGCCCCGAGCAGGGCTTCTTACAATGCCGCCGAGAACGGTACGGGGAAGCCAGATCGCATAGCTACGTGGGGACAGCACCTTGGAGCGGATTGTTTGGGGGCTAGGGGGATTTCCTGAGGCAGGAGCCGTGGGACAGGACCCCCACAGAACGGTCCAGGGAAGCCTGGCAACGTAGGGGGGCGCTCCTTGGAACGGACCCTCTCGGGTGGCACTCGACAGCCTTTGAGGCGCCATGGGGTCGCAGGAAGCTTCGGGAAGCTCAGGAGGACGCAGAAGGCCCGAAGAAGCCCGAGGAAGTCCCAGGACGCCCCAGGAGGCCCGGCGAGGCCCCGGGAGATCTCAGGGGGCACTGGGGGGACCCAAACCGCCCCAGAAGGCCCCAGGAGGTGCAAGGAGGCCCCAGGAGGTGCAAGGAGGCCCCAGGAGATCCAAAGAAGCCCCAGGGAGCCCCAAGAGGCCGCAGGAGCCTCCACGAGGCCCCAGGAGGCCCCAGAAGATTCCATGAGGCCCCAGAGGGCTCCAGGATGCCCCTGGAAGTCAAAGAAGGCCCCAAGAGGTCACATGGTCCATCGCGCGGGAGTGCCGGTGGTGGATGAGGAGAAACATTAGAAATAATAAGAGTAAGACTAAGAGTAATACTAATCAGACGAGTAAGGATAATAATAGTAAGAAGACCAAGAAGACTATTCAGACTAGCATAACCCTTAATACGAGCACTACCAAGATGATCATATTAATCATACGACTTAGCACAGGAGTATTGATACAACGAATCAGATTGCTAAGCATACGAATAATAAACGAATGCTAACAGCACTCGTAAGAATGCGAGTAGCGATGCTATTCTTAATCCGGATAATGATTGGTAACTGATAAGGAGAATATTTTTCATACTAATACTACTGCTTTTACTGCGAATACTAATTACACCGCAGTCTTCACAATGATAATCATACTTTTAATGACATGTTTATTAAGATGAACGTCGTCCGTAAACGTAATAGTAATAGCAACACGAGTCTGAAAAGTAATTGTACTCATAATAGAAGCAGTAGCAGTATTAGTATTAGTGTTAGTCATAGTAATAGGCGTGGTATTAGAGTTAGTAGTAGTACTCGTAGTATTAATCGTAATCGCAGTCGCAATCGAAATAGTAGTAGTAATAGGAATCAGAACAGTAATCGTACCAGTAATGGTGATAGGGGTAGTAATAGTAGCAGTAATAGTATCCGTACTTGTGATATCAATCGCAAGAATAGAACTACTAATCGTGCTCGTGCTAGTATGGGTAATACTACTAGTAACAGTAATCCTTATAGTAGTAGTAGTAGTAGTAGTAGTAGTAGTAGTAGTAGTAGTAATAGTATTACTACTACTACTACTACTACTACTACTAGTAATGGTCGTAGAAGTCGCAACAGGAGTAGCAATGTCAATCATATGAGTAATGGTATGAGTAATCGCAATATCAAGAGTAGCAGTAGTAGTCTTAGTACTCGTAAGTGTAATGATAATCGTACTAGTATGAGTAATCTTATTAGTACTAGAAATAATAAGCGCACTAAGAATTGGAATAATAAGATTGGTAGTAATCGTATGGGTAATAGTAATAGTAAAAGTAGTAGTAATAGTGACAGTAAAGGTAGTAGTAATCGTATTAGTAGTAGTAAGCAGTTTAGTATTAGTAATGGTATTCGCATTCGTATTCGTAATAGTAATAGTAACGGGAAGAGTAAGAGTAATAGTGATCGTAATAGAGCTAGTGATATTAATAGTAATAGTAATAGTAATCGTAATAGTAATAGTAATAGTAATAGTAATAGTAATGGGAATAGGAATAGGAATAGTCTTAGTAATAGTAATAGTAGTACGAATAGGACTAGTAATAGTAATAATAATCGTAATAGTAATCGTAATAGTAATCGTAATAGTAATAGTAATAGTAATAGTAATAGTAATAGTAATAGTAATAGTAATACTAATAGTAATATTAATAGTAATAGTAATAGTAATAGTAATAGTAATAGTAATAGTAGTATTCATAGTAATAGTAATAGTAAAGTGATAGTAATAGTAATAGTACCAGTAATAGTACTAGTATTAGTAATAGTAATAGTGATGGTAATCGTAATATCAATATGAATAGTAGTAATACCAATAATTGTATTAGTAATAGTAAGAGTAATAGTATTAGTCGTAGTGGTAGTAATAATACTTGTACTAGTAATCGTACTAGTAATAGTACCAGTAATAATATTAGTAATCGTAATAGTACTCGTAATCGTAATAGTCATAGTAGTAGTACTCGTACGAGAAATAGTATTCGTATGAGTAATAGTAATAGTAATAATAGTAATAGTAATCGTAATAGTAATAGTACGAGTAATAGTAATAGTAACGTAGTAGTAATAGTAACAGTGATAATAATCGTAATAGTAATAGTAATAGTAATAGCAATAGTAATAATAATAGTAATAGAAATAGTAATAGTAATGGTAATAGTCATAGTAATAGTAATAGTAGTAGTAATAGTAATAGCAGTAGTATTAGTAGTAGTATTGGTAATAGTAATAGTAATAGTAATAGTAATAGTAATAGTAATAGTAACAGTAATAGTAATAGTAGTCGTAATAGTAATCGTAGTAATAGTACTAATAATAATAGTAACATAAACAGTAATAGTAATAGTAATCGGGATAGGAATCGTAATAGTA